GGGGTGTGTGTAGACGGGACGGGACCGGAGTTACCTCAGGGATCGACCTTCTCGCTCTCCACAGCTCCCTGACAGGAGGGGGGAGCGAGGGGGGGGCGGTCTCTGCTCCCAGGGAACAGGCGATGGGACAAGAGGGAACAGCCTCAAGTTGTGCCAGGGGAGATTTAGATGGGATATTGGGGAAAACTTCTTCCCCAAAAGGCTTATGAAATATTGGAGCAGGCTGCCCAGGGCAGTGGTGGAGTCGCCATCCCTGGAGGTGTTTAACAGAGGGGCAGATGCGATGCTGAGACATGGGTTAGTGGTGGGTTTGGCAGCATTAGGTTGATTCAATGATCTTAAAGGTCCTTTCCAACCTAGACAATTCTGTCTGTGTAGTGGTGGCCTCGTGTAATGTGGTCTCTTGTTGCAGAAGCCCAGGGGTTCCAGCCGCCCTGTGCTGATTGCAGTGCAGCTTGTGAGTGTCCCCTTTCCTTTCAGCTTTTGTGGGAGCCTATCTGCTTTACACCTGGGGCAACCAAGAGTTTGAGAGACTGAAGAGGAAGAACCCTGCTGACTATGAAAACGACCAGTAATCGACTTAATAAGGAGACTGTTACCTGCCTGTATTATCAACTTGGTGTTGCTGAGCTTGTTCACATGACTGGAAGGGTATTAAGAGGGAGATAAGTCTTGTCTAATAAACTTTGACTTTGCCCCATGACTTTGTGTGAAATCTGTGTCTTGAGATGTTTAAGGTGAATACCAGCAAATCTCTGTCTGGTTCACTTTGTACAGGGAGATAGTCGGGCTAAAGTTCTGTATGCTCAAACTGTTTTATGTTAGAGCATTTCCAGCCTCTTTTGGCTCCTGTTTCTTTGAAATATTTCTTAGTATGACTAGTGTAGTGAAGGCTGCCTTCAGCTGGAGATAATTTGAAATAACGGCTCGTTGCTCCCTTTACCTTTCCATCACAGGCCACTGCTTTTTCCTTTAACCTTGATATCTGTGAAAAACAAATAGGCCACCTCATTTGGCATTGACCAAAACTGCATGAGCTGGCTGATGGCTCAGGATTGAGCGTGGACTTTGACCTCTGTACAGAGGCTCTCCCTTCACGTACAGAAGACATGGGGCAATGGGTACAATTTGCACCAGGAGAGATTTCATCTCGATGTCTAAAAGGAATTTTATACGTGAGAACAATCGATCACTGGAACAACCTCCCCAGGGACATGGTGGAGCAGGTTTTCAAGATCTGACTGCACAGGGTGCTGTATAATCTCATCTGGGCTCCCTTCCCATGAAAAGGGATCTTTTGAGGTCCCAACCTGGGCTGTTCTATGATCTGAGATATTAATTATCTAGTAATCGTATTTATTAGTCAGATGCTTAACTTCAATTCTGATATCTGAGTAATGTTAATAGGCTGGATTAGAAGTTTATTCTTGGAAACGAGCAGGAGAAACAAGGCTGTTCAACACCTGAAGATGATTTAAAAACAAATGCTTGTAGTAACATTACTTAAGTACATGACAAATTCACCCTGTGGCCCTAAGTGTATAAACAGGCTTTGCTGTTCGAAGTCCGGAACATTTGGCTGGTTCCTTTATCCCTTTATTTTTTCCTTTCAGCCTTGAGCTGACTGTCTCAAGCTCATGCCCTGCGCAAAGCAACATGTTTATCTCCCTGTCGTGCTATTCCTGTGGCTGGTACTGAGCATTTATCTTATCCGCAGCACAGGAGTGACGTTTCCCTGTGTTAGTCTCGGCGTGCTCAGGGCTGGGCTGTCTGGAAGACAAAGATGCTCAGTCTCCCACGTTAGGAAGTTGGGGATATGCAATTTTTATAGCTGAATGCTTTCTTCTTTTGGGGCTCTTTGCATCTGTTTAAAAGGCACATGAGACTAAGCTCAGTCTTAGGGCTGTTCCTACGGCTCTTGTGTTTACTCCAAGTGCAGTCTGAGGTCGGCATAAACAGGAGGAATACACATCATCCAGTGCTGAAGTTGCGCTAAAAATATTCTGTGCTTAAATTTAACTCTGCGTTTCAGTTCGTTGGTATTTTCTAGGTAGTTTAAGCAAGGAGAGAGCAATGAACCAATTACTACAATTGTGAGAGCCGGCAAAGACGTCTAGAGTCAGGCTTTATTCAAAACTTTACTCATGTCCTGCTTATTTAGCCTCCGAGAGCACCCACAGCAGCTGATGGGTAACCTAAATGACAGCACCTGTGAACTTTTACATCGGTAGCTTCAGTAAACGCTTGTTTTTCCATGCATTTTGTGTCAGCAATTCTGCTGAAGGTGAGCGGCTCATCTCAGTCTCTCTCACGAGGTCTCTGCCCCCGTTCACAGACAGCTGAACTGTGTCTGAACCAGCTGCCAACAGCGCGGCACCGTCCCCCCAGCCGCTGGCCGGTGACCCGCCGCACCGCAGCCCAGCGAGTGCTGGGGCAGCGGCTCAGCCCCGCTGCGGTCTCGGCAGGGAGGCAGCAGGCAGGCTGCGCCTCCTCACCCTTTGCTCCGCCGCCAGCCTGTCGCAACCCTGCGGAGCTGGCCTCTGCCTCCGGTGCCTCCCGCCGGGCAGGGAGCTGGGTGCAGGACCCGTTACCGGCAGCGACGGCTCCCGCTGGACACGTGACGTTTGGGAGCTCGGCCGGTGGGTATTTCAGAATCTGAACAAGATGTTTGAAAATTTTTCAGTCATCTGAGTCACTTCTGTTCTCCCTTTCCTGAACGTTAGAAGTGGCAACACAGCAACATTTTGTGTTCTTTTTTTTTTTCCCGTTATAACCTGCATCTTTGCTGTGGCGTTTTACTGGTGCGCTGGACTTGAGTACGTGGAAACAATTGGTTTAGTTTTATTCTTTTTTCCCTAGTTTCTTGCTCAGAGTAAACAGATTGCTGCCTGAGAGGGATATGCTGATGCTATTAGTAACGCGGAAGGACACAACAATTTTGAGGTATCGTCACAAAGTACTAGTCTCACCTAGCCAAAAGCTGAGA